AAAAATAGAAATTTACTGAATTCTGCAAGCTTCTAAGTGACATTAAATATTAATGGAGTAAAAGGGAGAGGGAGAAAAGGAGGAGGAGAAGAGTGAAAAAGCCTGGAGGGAAAGGAACAATGATAGTCTGCGGGTGAGGAAATGTGTGCCCAGTGTACCCAGAGAGTTGAGTCATAGCCCAAGTGTCAAACCATCAGTCACACCCATCTCTTTAGGAGAATATTCAAACCAGAAATAGAGCTGGTAAAGGGTTTAAAAAGTGCCACTTCCTTCTTTAAAAGAAAAGGTTGTTATGTGTATAGGTGTTTTGTCTGCATGTATGTCTGTACATCATGTGTGTGTGTGTGTAGTGCCTAGAAATGTCAAAAGAGAGTCTGATTCCCCCTTAACTGTAGTTATAGAGGGTTGTGAGTCACCGTGTGGGTGCTTGGGATTGAACCCAGGTTCTCTACAAGAGCCATCCCCCTGGTTAAGTGTTATGGGATATTCGATCATACTGTGACACCTTGAATCAGGGGGTGGGATCAATGATTAGCTGACTGGAATTAGCCACAGAGATTTTGGAGGACCCAGGGTATGCTATGATAGAGAGGCACAGGAAAGAGTAGGGAGGGGCTTAGAAAGATTCACGGGCCTTTTTGACCTGGCAAGTGCAGAGATTGGGGGTCAGCTGCTTGATCCATCAGGTTTTTACCCTAATACCTGACTCCGCAGCGTTTACAATAACAGAACAACTTAGATAACACTTTAGTGAAGCCCCTCCTATCCTTCTTCATTCACAGCATCTGAAGACATAAACTCAGTAATAGAAAAAATATAAGCTAAAAGGTGAAGCAGCTGTGACACAAGGAGAGAAAGAAAAACACATCATAAAGAGTCAAAACTGGTTCTGGTGGCCATGGTTGCAATCCCTGCACTCAAGACTCTGAGGCAAGAGGACCAAGGGGAGTTTGAGGTCAACCTGGGCTACACAGTGAGTTCAAAGCCAGCCTGGTCTATATGTAACATGATCTGTCTCAAACAGAAACTTCAAAAGTCAAACTCAGGGGCTTGAAATATGATTCAGCATGAAAGACCACTTGCTGTTAAAGCAAGAGAACCGGAGTTCAAATCCATGTACAGCAGTACATGCCAGTAACCACAGCACAGAGCTCACCTAGCAGCTAGCCTAGCCAAAATGGTAAGTTTCTAATTTAATGAGAGACCCTGTCTCAGAAAATAATGTGGAGAGCAACAAAGGGAAAGACCCAGCCTCCTCCTCTGGTGCCTACATGTGTACAAACGTGCTCCCCCTGACATCCCACACACACCCACAAGCAACAGGAGATAAATTCAATAAATTCCACAAATATAAAGGTCAAGGACAAAGAAGAAACACTATGTTCACCACAAGACAAAGACACATACCCAGGGCTACTCCCCACATCACTCTTTATGACAGACAACAGATTCAAGCTAGAGATGCAAAGCAAGAGGACCAAGTGAATGAATGAGGTAACATCCACATACATTAGGTAGTTTCCTTTGCCAGCAAGTGATGACACACTTGCCTACTCCAGCAGAACAGCACTACTACAGAAGAGGGTGTGTACACGCTGTCTGCAGGCAGACAGATGCAGACGGTGTGACGGTGCAGTGGTGTCACCTAGGACTCAGGCTCTTCTGTGTTTGTCATCTTTAGCATCCTGACGGGGTCGAAGGGGTAATGGGGGCACTGAGTCCCCTTTGCAAGTTCTTTATCTCATAGATAAAATGATTCCAAAGCAGAGCTTGAGGACAATTCACTAGAGTCAGAGGTAAGCAGAGTGCCCTGAGGATTGGGGCATCGATATCAGGGGAAATAGAAGAGGATATAGACAGTCACACTTTTAATAGAGTGAAAGAACAAGCTATACTTTGTAGACTATACATTACCCTGAGGAACACGCCACAAAAGAACAAACAAAACCTTGTGTCTTGGGCATTTGTTCCTTGTAACTGTCGAAGGACAGAACATTCATTGCCTTCCTCCCAGGGTGGCATAGGCCCCTGGCATGAAACCAGCATTCCACCCTTTCAGGCTAACAAAGGAGGAAATCCATCCTAATATTACTTGGGAGGCTGAATGGCCCAGTGGTTAAGAGCACTTCCTCTTCCAGTAGACTCAGGTTGGGTTCCCAACTCACAACAGTTTGTAAATCCAATACCAGGGCATCTGGTGTCCTCTTCTGACTTCCATGAGTACTGCCCTTTGGGGAGGGGGGAGAGGAGTGAGTGAGTGAGTGAGTGTGTGTGTGTGTGTGTGTGTGTGTGTGTATGGGGTGTGTGTGTGTGTGTGTGTGTGTGTGTGTGTGTGTGTGTCTGGTGCCCTCTTCTGGCCTCCATGGGCACTGTCCTTAGAGAGAAGGTTTGCATGCATAGACACAGGCAAGCAAAACTCACACACACAAATAACAATAATGGCACCAGGTTCTTTGCATGTATGTTTTGGCTGTTAGTTTGGCTGCTAACAGTGGGAGCTGGAGTATCTCTGACTCTTGCCTGCTCTTGAGACTCTTTTCCTATTGGGATGGATACCTATCCAACCTTGATATAAGGGCTTTCACCTTGCCTTATTTTACCTTGCTTTGTCCTGTTGGCTGTCCTCTCGTGACGTCCTGCTGCTTTGTAAAGAGGAAACGAAGGGGGAGTGGATCTGTGGGACAGGGGAGATTGTAGGGCGGCTAAGAGGAATGGAGGGGGGGAAACTATGGTTGGGATATATTGTATGAGAAAAGAATCTATTTTCTACTTTTAAAGAAAATTTGAAAAAAAAAAAGAGATATGGTTTAGAGACAGGAAGATTCTCGGTGGGTGACAATGCTTGATGCTGCACCTGATGACCTGAGTTGGGTCCCCAAAACCCATATGGTAAGAAAAGCTGACTCCTCAGGACACCTTCTTACCTTCACAGGAGTGTGACCACCCTGCACGCAAACAAATACAAAATAAGTACGTGCTTAAGAGATTCTTTTTAGGCTTGCCTTGTAGTCTGTCACTGTGTGGCTAGAACTCTGCCTGTGCCTAAGGTATCATTACCACGGATCACTGTCACAATCCCTTCAGCTTTGTGGCTAGGAAGGCATCACTAACAGCATGACCGCCATTGACTTTCTTTGTTGAATTTACTGTTGCCAGTTTGCTTTCAGCTTTGTGGTTCTTTTGAATCCCTGCCATTGGATCACCTTTAACCTTCCAATTGGTCGCCACCAACTATGGAGCCTTAGCACAGATTACAAGGCCATTGCTGGCTCACTTTGAATCTGGCCACAGAAGGCTGGCACTGGAAAACAAGATGGAGACAGCTGGTAGGCTTTCCACCACCGTGCTTGATCTCTGCCTTCTTAGCTTGCTATTATTATTACATGTATTATTTGTTTGAATGTGCTCAAACAGTTTAAGGGATAAACAAAGGGTTATTTCTCCCTCTACACCTTGGGACCTGATGCACAAATTCAGATTGACATGGCTAGCAGTTAAATACGCTCATGGGCGGAGACTTCTCTTCCACCTCTGATTTTTAACTATATTTTCTTTTTTTGGAGGGGGGGTTCATGTATGTCATGAAGAGGTCATAGGACAATGGGAGTCATCTTTTCACCATGTGAACTGAACCCCTGGGATCAAAGTCAGGCTATCAGGCTTGGGAGCAGCTGCCTTTACCCCCCTCACCAGCCCCTCTTCAGTTTTCCAGTTCCCTACCCTACTGCCCAGGTACTGACCACGTGATCATACTGATACAAATGCAAATGGCCCCTGGAAATCAGATGGCCCTTTCATTTAAACACTTTCCAGCCTTGCTGCCCAGCAAGTCCTCAGGGAGTGAAATGTAGTGTTAATACTCATCAAGCCATCAAGTTCGTGCAGCTAGAACATGGGGTTTAGAAGGTTTGACACTCACAGAACACCCTAGTATTAACATAGTTCTAACACCTACTACTCAATCTTCATATTCTAATCATACTTAACTGCCTATCACGAGTCCTTTTCATACTGTGGCATTCTATGTGAATTATTTAATTGCTAAGCCACACAAGTTAAAACTCAGCTGATTCAGACCTGTGGATCAATACTTACTTTTTAATTACTTAGTGTTTCTTTGGGGGTGGGGTGGGTTGTTAAGTAACAATCTCACTATGTAGCCCAAGCTGGCTTGGAACTTGCTGAGGTCAACATTGGCCTCAAATTCACACCAATCTTCCTCCCTCTGCCTCCCAAAAGGCTGGAATTAGAGGAATGTACCACTATACCTGGCACAACAGTTTTTTGTTTTGTTTTCCTTTTTTGGGGGGGAGGAGTGTCGAGATAGGGCTTTGTGTAGCCCTGGCTGTCCTGGAACTAGCTCTGTAGACCACGATGGTCTCAAACTCAGAGATCCATTTGCCTCTGCCTTCCAAGTGCTAGGATTAATGGTGTGCAACACTACTGCCCAATAAAAAACAGGTTTTTATATTGGTTTGGTGTTTGGTTTTTTTTCAAGCCAGAGTTTCTCTGTGTAATAGCCCTGGCCAACCAGGAACTCACTCTGTAGACCAGGCTGGCCTCAAACTCAAGATATCTACCTGCCTCTGCCTCCCGAGGCTGAGACATGACACAGTTTTATTGACTCAACTAGAGCCGGGCATAGCAGTATACAACTCAGGAGGCTAGACAGAATCGTCTGAGATTAGGATTTGGAGGCCAGCCTGGGCAACACACTAAGACAGCATCTCAAATGAAAATAAAACAAGTGAGTTTTGTGGTTCACAAATGTAACCCTACACTTGACACCCATAACTCCAGCACCCGGAGCCAGAGACTGCCACAAGTTTGAGGCCACCCTGGTCTCCTACAAGTTCCTGGCCAGCCTGTTCTACCTATAAAGAGTTCCAGATCAGCTTAAGCCTCTAAGACTCTATCTCAAACAAATAAACTAACAAACAAATGGCTAACCAAAAAACCAGACACTAGGAATACTAGCACATAAAAAAGTACAATGTATATTCGTTATGTAATATTTTATTTAAAAATTTTGCTTTCTCGAGAGTATAATTTGTCACTAGTGATCCCCACAGTGGGAAAACACACTTATCTGAAGAGTAAGCCTGTTTGGAATCCGTCATGTTTTAACCCACCTACAAAGGAGAACTCTCTAAATGCAGCTTTCCTCAATTTCCTTCCTAAGATTTAACAAAAACCAGTAACTGGGGATATAAGCATCCCCTGATCTGAAGTTCCCTAGATTCGAGTCATCAACAGCTGATGTCAACAGAGTGGGAGATTCCAAATGGAATACTTTCCAATTTCATGCAAAGCCAATGACTCATGACTGAACAGTCCTCCCTCCCAGTCCAAGTAGAAAATCTCTTATCCAAGCAAGAATAAGCAGAGCTCTGCTCAGGCAATGGCAGTTAAAGGCAACATGAGCTCATGAAATGTGCAGTCACACTGCGAGTTTGGCGCCTGCAACCACCAACTCAGGGATATGGAACCCAGACTCAGGACTAGTTGAGCCTAGCTCCTCTCAAACCTTTCCCTCAACAAATGAATTCTGAAACTAACCATAAAATTAAAAGAAATTCTGCCCACCCATGGACTTCTCCTTCACGCCCTCCTCACTGGGGTTGAATGGCATCGACAGAGCAGAGGCAAAGAGGCACACAATGTAGGGTGTTGAACTACAGAGGTCAGAGCTTCCAAAGCATGGCAACTGCTTTGCAGATGCCCACATCGTGGTAGTTGAAATAGCAAAGCCCAGCGAAGGTCAGAGCTGAGACGGCCAAGAGGCCTGCCTTGACAGCCTTCTGTGTTGCATTCCCATGAACGTAGTCAGTCACCACTTGTCCAAGGCCCCTAAAGAGAAGAAAGTCACAGCACAGGGCAGTTAGAGGCCATCCAGACAAGCCATGACCTGCTCACATAAGAAGTCAGTCTCAAAACACAAAGTCTTTATCTGTAACTCCAGTAACTGTTTGCTTCCTCCAGGGATTCCATGTAGCCACTTTTATAGGTGGAATTATTTCTATGCTTTGAGATAACAAGCCAAAGCAACTTATGGTAAAACAAGCAAAGAAAAAAAAATTAACAACAAGCCGGGCGTTGGTGGCACACGCCTTTAATCCCAGCACTCGGGAGGCAGAGGCAGACGGATCTCTGTGAGTTCGAAGGCCAGCCTGATCTGCAGAGCGAGTTCCAGGACAGCCTCCAAAGCCACAGAGAAACCCTGTCACAGGGGGAAAAAATCAACAACAGTGAAAACCAAAATACAATCAGTAGTTGCTAATATGTAATAAAGAGAGCTCATCCTGTGGATTTAATTTCCATAGCATATACAGTAACTAAATGTTTCTCTACTATAAAATCTTTTCGGCCAGGAGATGGTGGCACACGCCTTTAATCCCAGCACTTGGGAGGCAGAGGCAGGTGGATCTCTGTGAATTCAAGGCCAGCCTAGTCTACAGAGTGAGTTCCAGGACAGCCAGCACTGTTACACTGAGAATCCCTGTCTTGAAAAACCAAAAACAAACAAGCAAAGAAACAATAAACTCTCCTTTTCATTTTTAACTAAAACAAATGTTCTACAGTATCTTCACTCATGCAGAGTTTACTAAGCAGGTGTGGTTGCCAGAACATGTCATGAATGCTAAGGGTGCAAGAGATAATGGATGTTCCCTGTGTGGAAACAGACATTCCTAGTGAAACAGAAACAAGTAAGTGACTGTATATGCAGCATGAGCAAACACCTTAGGAAGGGTGACTTGGAAGAGGTAAGTGACAAGGGCCCTGGCGTCTCTGAGGAACAGTACGTTAATGAGGCTGGAGTCTGTGAGCAAAGCAAAACCCATACTAAAGCAGGGGCAGACTGCAGAGTGCCCAAAGAAACACTCACCAGGTTTTAAGCAGAAAGTATCCTAAATAAGAAGTGACCCAACTTTACTATTTCTACAGCAGTTTTTTTCTTTGTTTTGTTTTTCTTCAAGACAGGTTTCTCTGTGTAGCTCTGGCTCCTGGAATTCACCCTCCTAGACCAGGCTGGCCTTGAACCCAGAGATCCACCTGCCTCTGCCTCCCGAGTGAGATTAAAGACATGCCCAGCAAACTTTACCCTTTTTTTTTTTTTTTTTTTTTGGTTTTTTACGAGACAGGGTTTCTCTGTTTTGGAGGCTGTCGGTCTAGCCTGGCCTCGAACTCACAGAGATCCACCTGCCTCTGCCTCCCGAGTGCTGGGATTAAAGGCGTGCGCCACCAACACCTGGTGCAAACTTTACCCTTTTAACAGAATACAATTCGTTTTTTTTAGTGCAGTCAAAGTTGTGAACTATCACCACTAATTCTAGAACATTTTCACACATGCAAAAAGAAGCACTAGCCATTAGCCTACTCACTGCCCAATCACCGACTTACTTATCTCTACAGATTTGCCTATTCTAGCATTTCATACAAGACTATGCAGGACTTAGCTATGACCTTTGTGTCATATTTCTTTATTCAGCACAGTTTTGTTTTCAATGTTCATCCATATTGCAGCACACCTCAGTACTCCATTCCTTTATGTGGCTGAATAATACTCTATATTCTATTTTGGCCACATGGATGGTTTTCACTTGTAGCTAATTTAAGTAACGTGCTATGACATTCTTGTGTAGGTTTTAATGTAGGCACATTTTTTCTTTTTTATTGTTACAGTTTTTGTTTTTTGTAATGAGATTTTGCTATGGCCTCAAATTTGCTATGTTGCTAATGATGACTTTGAATCTCTGATCCCTTTGCCTCCTCCTCCTTGGTGCTGGGTTACAGGCAAGCACCAGAACACAAACGCAAGACAAACACTGTAACAACTGAGCTGCCTGACCAGCTCTGTATCTGCACTTAATTATAGAAGGGAAGGGCAGGAAGGGACAAATGCACAAAACAGTAAATAGATGCAGTAGTTCCTAAGGAAAAGACAACAAATGAGAGAACTGAGTAAGTGGTCAGGGAAGGCTTTGCTGAGAGTGCTATGTTCAAGTGCATAACTAGTGAAAGTTTCACACAGAACATGAAGAGTGGAGGGTCCCCAGCGCATCTGAGGACTAGGAAGAAAGCCAGTGTGCCTGAAAGGGGCATCTGGAAACGAAACGAGTGGGTGTGTATTTGTGTGGTGGCAGTGACGGTGGAGGTGGTGGTAGTGGCTGTGGTGGTTGAATGAGAAAGACCTCCAATGGCTCATATATTTGACTACCTGGTCCCCAGTTGGTGGAACTCTTTGGGGAAGACGAGGAGGTGTGGCCTTGCTGGAGGAGTCACTGGGGGTGCTGTGGAGGTTTCAAAAGATTCCCAGTGCTCGCTCTCTGCCTCCTACTTATGGATCAGGATGTGAGCGCTCAGCTCTGGCTCCAGAACCATACTTGCCAATCTGCCTCCATATTCCCCACCGTGACAGTCATGGACTCACCCTCTGAAACTTTAAGTCCCAAATAAAGTCTTGGTCATAGTGTCTCTTCACAGCAATAGAAAAGTAGCTAAGACAGAAGGACACATATGTAATCCCAGGATGTGAGGCTGAGTCAAGACAATTTAAAGTTTAAGGCCAGCTTAGGCTACTCTGACTCAAAAAAGTTGTTTGTATGTTTTTAAGTTTTCCAGAAGTCTTGAGAATTTCAGTCAATGTTTTCTTCATAAACAGACAACAGGCTTGCAGAAAACAGAACAAGCAGATAATGGGGAAGGACTGTTGTACTTGCCAGTGACTGTGCAGAGTGAGGGCTGCAGCCAGGGAGTAGTCCACCACAGAGCAGGGATTCAGGTACCCAGCTGGAAGCAGGCCCAAGAGCAAAACACTGACAACCCTCTCGCTAGTCCAATGGAGAGATGCAGCCTTGGAACCAGCTACAAAAAAGAGGAGATTCACAGAGTTGAGGAAAGACAAACACTTCAACCAATCCAATGATTACTAAAACTGTTAGGATGGTAAATAGTATACTCGTCATAGACCCATTTTGAACACAGAGTCAGACAGCAAGCATATCCTTCATGTCTCTGAGCACACCTTTTTAAAGGCAAGAAGGCAGGCTACGTATCTGTGGAATTAAGGCACCCTTGGACTTCAGTCAAACAGGCATATTATGAATGTAATTTAGTGATCATTAATGATTCTCTTTAAAAAATACTAATAACTGTCTAATCTTTGGAGAAAATGTAGTATGTTCTAAAAACAGCTTAAACCAACCAAATGAAAGAGAAGCAAGGATCCGAGAATACCTTTTAAGGTGATAGTCCTTGTGCCCCTTTAAAATTCAGTGCCAAACAAATGAAACACAAACACTGCTTTTAGACAAGGGAAACAACACAGGCTCTAAGCCTTTCTTTTTTTCTCTTTTCTGTAGTGGGAACTTGTTTCCACCAGTAGTTTCAGGGTGCCAGTCTTAGGGCGTGGCTTCAGTGTGCAGACATGACCCCTTAAGGAAGAGGAAGGATCTCTGGCTCTCTTAGGTGGTGGTCTGAGGCCTGATCAGCACATCCTGCCTCACTGTATCCCGGACCTCCAGGAGCAAAGATCATGGTGGCTCCTTACCTTCATTGTATGAGTATTCCCCAAATATTTGCTATTCTTTTATTCTGACATTCATGGACTTCCTTATTCCGCCCTCATTTTTGATTTGCTTGTTTGTTTGTTTTTTCTAGACTGGTTTCACTGTGGAGCCCTGGCTGTCCTCAAACTCACAGAGATCCTCTTGCCTCTGCCCCCCAAGTGCTAGGATTAAAGGGGTATACCATCACCATCTGGGGGCTCTAAGCATTTCTAAGAGGCTATAAACTCCTCAGAGAACCTGACAAAAGGATGGAGTTCCTACCCAGAAAAATGTGCATGGGCATATACATTAAGACCTATGCATACAACTTTAGGGAACTTTCTTCGGTTCCATGTACTCCAGAACCAGTCTGCTAAATCTAACACAAGAATCCAGATAAGAAAACTGGTAGAAAACAAAAAGGGTTTTGAGTTCAAGGCCAGCCTGGTCTACAGAGTGCAAGTTCAAAGGCCAGCCTCCAAAACAATACAGAGAAACCATGTCTGGCAAAAAAAAAAAAAAAAAAAAAAAAAGAATTGGGGAGGACTGAAAGGTAAAACTTAAAAACCATGATGCTTTAAAAATACTGATCTTAGCAGCCTGGCATGATCGCCCCAAAGAGGCTGAGGCAGGAGGACAGTGTCAGTCTGGAATACAGACTGAATTCTAGGTCAGCTACAGTCTGAGAACTATCTCAAAAGTATTCACAAACAAAAAGACAAATAAAAATCCACAATTTCGCCGGGCGGTGGTGGTGCATGCCTTTAATCCCAGCACTCGGGAGGCAGAGGCAGGCGGATCTCTGTGAGTTCGAGGCCTGGCTGGTCTGACAGCCTCTAAAACAATACAGAGAAACCCTGTCTCATAAAAACCAAAAAAACAAACAAACAAACAAACAAACAAACAAACAAAAACAAAAACAAAAAAACCAAACCACAATTTCAGGAAGAACGTGTCAAGTTTGAGGCTAGGCTGGACTACGAAGCAATTTCCAGACTAGCCAAGACAAAATAAGTATTTCTCTCTCTCCAGACTTTAAAAAATGGAAATATGGTTAACTCATTTATGCTCATATTGTCTAATGTGAATATCACACAGTATTTATCTAGTAAATTCCATATGGCTTTAATTAACCTAAAAAACATTCCAGCTATAAATCCATGATTCAGTACATGCACAAATGGCTCCTCTCCATTGGCAAACAAAACAGAACAACAACTAAAACCCCAGTAACTGAGCTACACTGAGTAGACTTCCTACAGAGCTGTTTTGTTGACAGCAATGTAACAAATTTTGAAATTAGGTAGAAGATTCTCTGTGAATACAAATGGCATCAGCATTCATGTTTGTACTGTCTGCCCAAGGGTATAAACTAGGTCTTTATTTAACCAGCAGACAGGACACACTCCCTGAGAGACACTAAGACCCGCCGAATATGATGATTAGCCCAGATAAACATGGCTGAAGCACCAGTAACCGTGCACAACTGTCTGGAACTCCAGTTCCGGGCACCCAAAACCCTCTTCTGGACTCTGCACCAGGCAAGCAAGTACCCAGACAAGACATGCAGGCAAAACACCCATACACTTAAAATAATAAATAAAATTGCTAAACAACAAATAAAATAATAAAATTGTTCACAAGGCATCGGCAGAGAGGACATACAGTGGTGGCTTGGTGATAGGTGAATGTGCTGTGTGCCATGCCATCCTGGGGTAGGCTGGTCCTGGAGAAATGCTGAGACATAAGCAGGTCTGACCACCCGGCTTCGGAGCAACAGAGCTGAGGAGGAAAGACAGCGATCATAAGCACTTCCTGGCCGGACCAACAGACTTTCTAAACTACCATGAACATGCCACTCAAATCATAAAGGTCTTAAAGGGATTTATTTCTACACATCTGAGTGTCTCACCTACATGTAAGTCCATGTTCCATGTACATGCCTGGTGCCCACAGACGTCCTTCCCCATAACTGGAGTCACACCTCCCCTAGATCTACAGTTATAGTTATGAGCCACCATGTGGGTGCTGGGAAGAGAACCCAAGTTCTCTGAAGAGAAGTCATTGCTCTTAACCATCTCTCTAGTCCCAAACTTGTACTACCAAAAAAAAAATCTGTGCTGGGAATGCAGCTCAGTTGCTTGCCTAGTATGCATGAGGCTGTTTCCAGCACATGACAAGCGGAAGCAGAAGGTCAAGGTCATCCTCACCTACATAAGGAGTTGGGGGTCAGCATGGGATTACATGAGATCCTGTCTCAAAAACAACAAAAGTCTGCAGACTCCTAATAACAACTCATATTGCTCTCATTTATTAAAAAAAAAAACTGGTGGCCTCTTGTTCTTACATTTACTCATCACTTATCTAGTATTAACTACAATCAATACTGTGCTTGGCAGTGAAGCAAGAAAGATAAGGCAAAAGTCTTTGCCCTCAAGATACTCAACGTAGTTTAAAAGTTCACCTATTGCCCTCTTCCTTTTCAAAACCCAATCTCATTTTGTATTCCTGAACTCCTTTTGGATTCTGCCTCACCCAGCTACATCACAGATTAGCTATGGGTCGATGAGCAGCTAAGTTAAATAGCTCTCTAAGGTTTGGTTTCATTTGCAGAAGGAGAATGTTGAGTTTGCTTTCTGTTACTGTGATAAATAAATACCATGATCAAAATCAATTTAGGGAAGGAAAGGGTTTATCTCAGCTTGCGCTTCCATCACTGGGGTTCATCAGAGCAAGAAATCAAGTAGGAGTGAAGCGGCAGTCACAGGAGTGATGCCTGCTCCCTGGCTCACAATCTGTTGGCTTCCTTATTCAGCTAAGGCACAAGTGCCTAGGACAGTGCCACCCACAGTGGGCTGGGCCCTCCCACATCAAACATCAATCAAGACAGTTTCTCAAAGACATGGCCAAAGGTCAGTCTGAAGGAGACAATTCTTCAGTCACTTTCCAAATAACTTTAAGTTGTATCAAGTAGGCAAAAACTAGTCAGTAGTCAACAACTGCATTTACTTCAGAACACTGCTAAAAACTAGGCAACATATACAAAGGATTAATGAATTCCCAGAATGCTAACTGCATACATATATATACACACACACACACGAGAAAAATTTAATATTTTCTCTTTTTTTTTTTTGGAGGTGGGGTTTGTTTTTGAAACAGGGTCTCACTTTATAGCGATGACAGGCCTGGAACTTTCTATGCAGACCAGGCTGGCTTCTCACTCAGAGACTTGCCTCACTCTTTCTCCCTTGTCCATAACCCTGAACTTCCCATCCTCAGGCCTCACCTCCAAGCACTAGAATCACAGGCCTTTTCAGGCCTTCTACCAAGGGAGCTGCCGTCCCAGCAACTCCTGCTCTTTCTTCCTTCTCTTTCCTTACTTCTGTGAAGTGTTACTCCAACTATTTGTACTTCCCAACCATTCACCTATGGAATTGTTTTTAATACTTCCTATGTCTGTTCCAGAAATCCAATAATAGTCAATAGCCAGTCACCAAATCTCTTTAACATTTCCTGAGCCTGCCTTCTCTTCCTTGTACCTTCCAAGCTCAGGACTTCCAGACTAGTCTACCTCAGCAGTGACTTACCTCATCTCCATGACTTGCATCTGAACCTGCTCTATTTCCATCAAGCCATCTACTACACTGTTACTAAACAGTAAGTTTAGACTCGGAGTATATAGTTTGGCAAAAGGGCATGTGCTTAGCACACATGCATGAGATGCTGGATTCAAAGGGAAAAGACGCCAGGCAAGGTGGTGCACACCAGCTACTTCCAGAGGCTGGGCCAGAACAAGTTTCAGGCCAGACAACTAAAAAAACTGAGACTGCAAACCTATCAAGCCTTTCAATGTTACTGTTAACCCGGGCAACAAAGAAAGACTGTATCTTCGGAATATAATAAAGTTAATTCTGTGATTTAGTTCATTTCACCTTTCAAGGCTAATTTCACACTCTGACTTTCAACATATTTTATTTGTTCATTTCTCTCTACACATCTTTCTATTCCTTCACCATGGTTTTGCTGCTCTCCGTTGCTGACTATAATGTACTCTGCAGAACCAAGACAGGCTAGTCCTTCCAAAACAATTACCCCAAACTTTCTCTGAACTCGTTGCACAGCCATTATCAGCACCACCTCCCCCGAGTTCTTTGAGAGTAGAAATTGTTTTATTCGTGTTTGTATACCGGCCTCTTAAGTCCCTTGTATAGCCAAAATGCCTGGTTAAAATGATTATCGAAGCCCTGAGTGGCGGTGCATGGCTGCCATGCACTCGGGAAGCAGTCGGGAAACTGTGGGTTAGCCTGGTCTACAAGGCTGGTAGAGGAAAGCCAGCACCACACAGCAAGCCGCTGTCTCAAGAGATCATCAGACTGATTACTTCCACCCACACTCACATCAGCCCGGTAGCACCACCGCAGCCCGGAGGCTGGAAGTACCAGATGGAGAGAGCAGGCACTAGGTAAACACTTGGGCCTTTGGGCTACAGCGGTCCCGGCTGCGCCCTTGCAGGCGACTCCGGGGCCGAAGAGAAAGCTCCTTCCTCTCATGACGCCCCAGCTCCCGGGGGTCGAGCCCTCACTCCTTCCCTTTCCCTCTCTAGGTCGCAGGAGAAACCTCTGATGGTCAAGACACCTCACCTCGGCCTCCTTGGCCACCGCAGAGGACACCCAGCTTTAAGAGAACCGCCATGTCGCTTATGAGGGCTCAAGGTCGCTCAATAACCCGGAAGTAGTTAGGTAGCAAGCCCCGCCCCGCGTAAAAGACGAGCATAGCAACCTGGAGGGTGAAACGGAAAGAGGGAGGCTGTGCAGTGCTACTGCGCATGCGCACACCAGCGAAGTAACCCACGCTGACAATGGCCGAGCTTGGTGAAGCAGACGAAGCGGAGTTACAGCGCCTGGTGGCCGCAGAGCAGCAGAAGGCGCAGTTCACCGCGCAGGTACGATGGTGAGGAACAAGGGAAGGAGGGTGAGGCGCAGGCCCTGAGCACCCACGGAGGTCTGGACACTGCGGCACAGCGGGCTCATTCGATGCTGGACCCCGGCTGCTCCTCCCGGACTTACGGTGTTCAGTGTCCGGGAGGCTAGCGCTGCATGGGATGAAAGAGGTGCAAAGCAGGGGGAAGGTTTGGGCGACAGAGGGACGTGGTGGTCATATTAGCCGGCCACTGGTACGGAATGGTATTCGAGTCTCTGGGTTCCGACCTTGGGATCCAAAGGCCTGTGTGGAAGACACCCGTCCCCCCGCCCCCATCTTGAGTTCTGGGTTCGTTATTGCCCACTGCCTCTCTGCAATGAATCCTGTGATAATGTATTTGGAAGTGATGATCATTGTTAGATAAAGGTGAGCGCTGCAACAATTAGTGTAGACTCAGTAAGACGGTTTGGCGTTTCCAGGCGTATTTCAAACCAGTGTGCTAACCGTTACTGACCTTGGAAATACTGGTAGCTATCCTGAATTTCAAGAACTGATTACTTAGTACTTTGCTTCCCAAGTAGTATCACTACGCGTTCATAGGTACAATCCCAAACTATGCTCGGTTTGGAGAAATTAGATCCTGACTTCTTCCCATTTTGTAATAGTGCTAGTTGCTTTGAGAATTGTGGGCAGGCAGTGATGGCCCACTCCTTTAATCCCAGCACTCAGGCTGATCTCTTGAGTTTCAGGCCAGCCTGGTCTACAGAGGGAGTTTCAGGTCAGCCAAGGCTGCACAGAAAAACCCTGTCTTGAAAAACGAGAGAGTACCGTGTATAAGGATGAGGAATTCTGGTGACTAGACATCAAAGTGATCCCATGCATGGTATATTATTAAGTGGTCTTTTTATTGAGTCACAGAATGAGAAATATCTATTTTCTTTCCCGGCAGGTGCATCACTTCATGGAACTATGTTGGGATAAGTGTGTGGAGAAGCCAGGAAATCGGCTGGACTCCCGCACTGAAAACTGCCTGTCTAGCTGTGTGGACCGCTTCATTGACACTACTCTTGCCATCACCAGTCGGTTTGCCCAGATGGTACAGAAAGGAGGGCAGTAGACCATACCAAAGAGTGACTGAAGATCCAAAACTTTTTACTAGCAGATTGAATGGCTAGCGGAGAGATGTCAATGTGTTGAATTTGCATCAGGGAGTTACCATGTCTGTGGGTGCTAAAAAGTAACATCAAATGTCCAAAAGTGAAATTTATTTATTGGAATTCAGTAATTCCAGGTTGTATCACACTGGTAAATAAATGTGAAGTCTCTAATTCTTTGCCTTCTAAGTCCCAGTTTCAGAATCAACATAAAGATCTCTGAATGACAGAACACTGTTAAGTGTTCCTTGGCTGGTAGTGCAAATGGGAGATCACAGGTTTTGAAAAGCCACCCTAAGCCATCATTAAGGGGATTAGAGGAACCATCAAAGCCTTAGCCTAAGGCATGGAAGGGAATTTAGGGGTAAGAAAGGTTTAGAACAGAAAACAATTTTATTGCTTATATGACCGAGAAAATTTGAACATGGTTGTAGGGATGGGTAAAAAAAAAAAAAATCAGGTGAAATGTGCTTTTCTTGGGGAAGAGGAAAAAAAAGCCTGTTAATATAGGAGGAAGGTAAGGTCAAGACCCAAACAGAACCAACTTCTTGGAAGTGCCATATTCTGCAGGACTGTCTTCTTGAGTCTGTGCTTAGAATCAGTACTTTTGTAGCACAAAACTGCTTTAGAAATACATGCCCAAAACTACTTCCAACAAAGATTTCACTTGCTTCAAGAAGGTTATGAGGTAGTAACTAGACTCTCCTCCCATTAAACCTCCACTAAACCCAAGGAAAAAGCATACCATGGAACATTGACATTTGAGTACCAAAGTTAATAGTGTTTCACTATCCCAAAAGGTAGCACCTGCTCATTATCAAGGGCTAGGGCACATCTGGCCAACTATGTATTTTAAAAACAAGCACTTTATTAGAAGTATGTTCCATAAAGAGCACAAATTTAGTTAAAACTATAAAATGCCACTTCATGGGATGTCAGCATAGTAGTATTCTATTGCTGGTGTCTGTCATGCTAACCATGAAGTATTTTTGTATTACACATGCAAAAAGTAAGGCCAGGGAGGTTAACTTAACCTGCTCTAAAACTCAATTAGTGGCAGAACCATGACCCCCCCCCCACAGTCTTAGGTCTGAGTTTTTGTGCTTTCTACTCAGTACCAAAAGTGACAACCTCAAAACAAAAACCCTGACAATGTCACTTTACCTTTCCTCTTAATGAAAAGTCAACTAACTGTTCTACCAGCCACTTTTCAGTGGTATTTTGGTTTCTTTTAATATCAGGATCACAGTATAGCAGGGAGAAATAATACGTTCTTGATAATCATAACACAAGTCAGACTGGGAAGAAGGGCGAGTATGTCCCTGAGAAGTTTCATTTTGGAATTGATTCAACTGGTTTCAGGGAAAGTCTAAAATTCATTAATAGAATTAGAAATGAACAAGGAAAACAACAGGGCTGGGGTATGGCTCAGTGGTAGAGCACTTGCCTAGTATATGCAAGGCCTTAAATTCAATCCACAACTTGGTTAAAAAAAAAAAAAAAAAAAAAAAAGACACTTAGATGGCTGTTGCCCTGAATCTCTTTGAAAGCATTATTGGCAACGTGACTAATTCTTTCCATTTGATAGATAGGACAACTGAACATTTAAATAATTTCAAACACTAGCCCATTTTAGGCAATATAATGCAATGGAACTAGAAAACCAACTACTATCCAGTTACTGTTATGCCTGGGTTATATTAAATGTAGCTGTAGACCCTGACCAGCAGGGAAATTAGGCAGAAAACCCTACGTTCAGTAGCAGTCATCTGTGGATCTTACTATGAAGGGAAAAGGTTTGTTCTTATACCCATTTTCCCACTAAGTAAATTAGATACCTGTAGGGCCCAACTATAGAACAAAGCACCAAAGCTGAAGTCAGGATACCTCCTGTATAAATAGCAATTGTTTCCTTGTCAAACTGTTCTATCTAGCACTATTTTAATCCTCCTTCTTCATCCCAGACCCTTGATTCCCCCAAATCCAACATTCCAATTGGTGTGCCCAGATCATTACTGATTTCAGCTTTCTGGGTTCTTTAATTTGATGTCTAGGTATTCTACCCTAAGTGATTAATTGCAAAAAATAATCTCTTCAAGAAACCTTAACAAAATACCAGATTCCCTATTAACAACAAAAGGGGGTGGAGATTAACAATCCAAAATAGGAAAAGGGGCATCTGTGGCAGGGCAACTCTGACCTCCAACCTCGGACCTCAGACTCCTGTGAAGGAGTCACTGGCAAACCCCCATTATTAAGAGCTGCAGACAACCAGCGTCCGTGGGAAGCAAGACTGTGACTTTCCCACTTAGTCATCCTCTGAGCTCTCAGCAGACCTCGAATCGGTAGCCACTTTCCAATTCCTGCGCTTGCTCGTCCTCTCCTGTACTTCAGGGTTAGCCACAGGAACATGAACACTTGTCTCTTTCTTTTTCCGTTTGGTTTTCTTAGTGTCTCTTTCCTCCATTTCCTCAGAGCTGCTAGTTGCTGAATCATCTGACTGGGAAGTAGCCCTTTCTCCTTCCAAAGATAAAGATTTTTTAGACTTTTTCCTGGATTTTTTCTTGCTCTTGTGTGGTTGTTTCCTTTTCCTGGTACTACAAGTTCCAGTTTCTTCTGAGAACTCACTTGAGGAATCTGCTGTTATGTCCATAGCTTCCTTTTTGTTTTTCTTCTGTTTTTTGTGGGACCGTTTTTTCTGCTTCTTTTTATGGGATTTCTTTGACTTCTTATGTTTTCGGGATTCCCGGGAAGATGCTTTCGCCTGGGAAGATGTTTTTTTCCCATTGGTAATGTCTTGCTGGTCACTACTAAGGAAAAGTAAAGACAGAACTTTTATGGGAGAAAGAAAATGTATATTTATATTTAATATTCTTCACTAAATTATTAACATCTGAACTTTAAGCTCATATGGTGGTGCATAGCTATACTCCCAGTACTCAGAAAGCAGAAGATCTTCCAAGTTTGAGGACAGCCTGCTCTACATGTTCTAGGCACCCCAGGACTATAAAAAAGAGACTGTCTCAAAAAAAAAAGCAGTAGTACTGTGAGTTTTCTTTTTTTTTTTTTTTTTTGGTTTTTTTCGAGACACAGAGATCCGCCTGCCTCTGCCTCCCGAGTGCTGGGATTAAAGGCATGCGCCACCACCGCCCAGCATTACTGTGAGTTTTCTATTTTATTATTCTCACAAATGTTTTATTTCCTCATCTTTAAAGTCCTAATTTGAGCGGGTATATACCTGTAATTCCAATGTTTAGAAGGTAGAGGCAGGAGGACCAGGAGTTCAAGGTCATTCTTGGCTAGATGTCAAGTTCAAAGCTATCTTAAGCTATAGAAAATTCTGTACCAAAAACAACAAACAAAAAAAAAACACCAACACCTCCTGATCTGCTATGCTGATTTACATATGAAATACTAAACACCATTATGCTCCCTTATCCATAGTTTCATTATCTCTGATTCTTGTCACCTATGGTCAATTCCAGAAACAATTTGTAAGATTTTAATTGCATGTCTTCCTAATTCCTCCCAGTTCCACTGTGTCCCTAGGACCTGAATCATCGCTGTGTCTAGTTACCAACCCTTTGGTCATTTATTAGCCATCTGGGTTATCAGATCCACTGTCTGGATAGCTTATTTAACAACAACCCTAAAGCACAAGTATGATGCTAACAATTAGGATATGGCAGAGAAAAGCAAGAGGGTATGTTCTTAATGTGAAAAAAAGGTTTTACAGGTATTGTGAGTATAAGAAAGGAACAGGCCAGGCGGTGGTGGCGCACACCTTTAATCCCAGCACTCGGAAGGCAGAGGCAGGCGGATCTCTGTGAGTTCGAGGCCGGGCTGGACCGACAGCCTCCAAAACAATACAGAGAAACCCTGTCTCGTAAAACCAAAAAAAAAAAAAAAAGAAAGGAACAGAATATGGGAGCTAGATAGACAAGATAATAAAAATATACAAGGTTTCAAGTATCTTTAACATGTTCACTAAAGATGATAGTGCACTTAGTTTCTATGGCCCTCATGCTTACAGAACATCAAACTACAATCAGGAAAGGTAAATAAGGATTGCCTCCCAACTAAATGCTGCTTGTTTTCTTTGTTTTGGAGACAAAATTTCATTATGTTCCAGGCTGGCCTCAAACTCCTGGACTCAAGCAATCCTCTTGCCTCAGGCTCCTGAACAGCTGGAACTAAAGGCATATACTTCCATTCTAGGTTCTAGTTATATTTTCAATGGCAAATAAATCTTTTGTAAATATTCGGAACTCTACTTATGGCACAATTTTGCATTCATCTTAGGTGTTTGGTTTTGTTTCTCTAGTAAGTGTATTTACCTACCTGTCTGTTTCAAACTCTTCAGGATACAACTCTTTATAACCACTGTGACCCCATCTGTAAAATGACATAATATATTTTTATGAAGCAACGCATATCATTTTTGGAGATTAAAACAAATTACATTTTGGAGTGCATAAATGCACACATACAGAGAACAAAGGAAAAGGGGGCAACCTAATACCACACAATACCTCAGTAACAGCTCTACTTTCTATACTATCATCTCGAACACAGGATGCTATTCATTGAAAGGTTGTGTCTGTGCTTTAAGAGACACCAAAGAGCTCTCCTCAGTGGTGAAGTCCTTTTCCCAACTACTTTATAGCATTATCTACACTGGGACTTTCTTTTTTTTAAAAAATATTTATTTATTTATTAATACAACATCCTGCTTCCATGTGTGTCTGCAGGCCAGAAGAGGGAACCAGATCTCATTACAGATGGTTGTGAGCCACCATGTGGTTGCTGGGAATTGAACTCAGGACCTCTGAAAGAGCAGTCAACGCTGTTAACCTCTGAGCCATCTCTCCAGCCCTACACTGGGACTTTCTAACAAGTGATTCACATGACAAGAAGTTATCCTTTTAAAGTGCAGAGCCTGTAGCCCAAGGCAACCATTAATCTTTCTGTCTCTATGGATTATCCATTCTGGACATACCACATAACAGAATCTTAGAACACAGCCTTTGTAAAGTTTTAAGGTTATGCATATAGAATTAGTACTTCTCCCTTTTACCACTAAGTACTATTCCACTATATGGGAAGTCTACATTCCGTTTATGCATTCATCAGACACAGCCATTTGGATTTCACTTCTTAGTCATTGTAAATACTGTTGCTATGCACACTCACAAGCTTTTATGGGGACAATCTGTTTTGAAGAATTATATTTACGTGTAAGACTGTCTTGCCTGCCTGTATATATGTGCATCACATGCATGTATGAAGCCCACAGAGCTCAGAAGAGGGTGTCAAATTCCCTGAAATTGGAGTTACGGACAGTTATAAGTTGCCTTGTCAGTGTTGGGAACCAAACCTGGGTCCCCTGCAAGAGGAGCAAGTGCTCTTAACCACTGAGCCATTTCTCCAACCCTAGGTCAATTTCAAGAAATGCATATTCTTGGGCCAAATATCAGTAGGGGTCATAAGAATATAGTAACAAACCTGTCTGGCATGTTGGATTCATAATCATATAGCTTCTTGTTCCAGGATTTTGCCTTAAGAAAATCATCTTCTAGGGCCCCAGAAATTTCATTCTTTGGCCTCCAGTAGTCTCTCTGACTTTCTTCATCAAAACCATCACTTCTCATCCGACTGTAAATGAAAAAAGACAAACGTTTAGATTTTAAAGCAACCTGTGATGCCACTTTATGGAGCATTATAAACATACTCATGGAACATGCTAAGACACTACCTTTGCACCACACGACATCGATACTAAGCCAGTAATACATCACAGTCCACATACTCCATGGACACACTCCCCTGCAATTCTTTTTTTTCTAATGATTTCTCTAAGTACTTTAGAAATCAGGTTATGACCCATCTCATATACCTACTTCCTGTACTTAAGGGCACATGAGGCACTAGAGATATTCCTAATTATTCATACACCCTACACCTCCCATAGAACAGTCAAGCCTGAATAATCCTTTATATTCACACTCATTTTTTTTTTTTCTGAGACAGGATTTCTCTGTGTATCCCTAGCTGTCCTGGAACTCATTTTGTAGATCAGACTGGCCTTGAACTCAGAGATCCGCCTACCTCTGCCTCCTGAGTGTTGGGATTAAAGGTGTGCCACCATACCCAGCCACAACCAAATTATTACAAAGGAAATATAAAAGCCCATTGACCTGGTGAAAAGAATGAGTAAATGTGGCTTTTAAACAGAAGAGCTGGCTCAGTAGTTAAGAATACTTGTTGCTCTTGCAGAGGATGCTAGTTCAAATCCCAGTACCCATGTCAGGAGCTTACAACTGCCTATTAACTCTAACTTCAGGGCATCTAATGATCTCTTCTGGCCCCTGCAGACACCAACAGACACAGAGACACATAATGAATAAAATAAATACCTTTTTAAAAAGGTCTAATAGACTAAAGGAAACAGTATGACTTACTGAATTAATTATAAGACTCCAGGGATGGCTAGAGGGCTAAGCAGCCTGGGAAGCCTGATGACCTGAGTTCTATTCCCAGAGCCCACAATAGTAAGAACAAATTCCTGAAAGTTATGTTCTGACTTCCATGTGTGCACTTTGGCATACCCACATTATATATACCCACACTTCATACACAAAGTTGCCAACACAATAAATGAAATTGTGTTTGTTTTGAGACAAGGTCTCTCTTTGTAGTCTTGGCTGGCCTGAATATACACCAGGCTGCCCTAGAACTCACAAAGATCTATCTGCCTCTGCCTCCTGAGTGCTAGAATTAAAGACACGAGATACCATGCCTAGTAAATAATATAATTTTTATAAGTCGGGAAAAAAAAAAAGAAATACACTCCAGTACAAAATCTTAAAAGCTATTAGACAAGGTTGGAATCCATAAAACCTAAACATTTACAGTAATCCAAGGAGAATTTTTTAATTCCCCACTGAAAATTAGTGTAAAAAGTCAGGTGGTGGCGTTGTATGTGTTTAATCCTAGCACTCAGGAGGTAGAGGCAGGCAGATCTCTAAGTTCAGGGCCAGTCTGGTCTATAGAGTGAGTCCTGGGACAGCCAAAGCTACAGAGAAACCCTGTCTTGAAAAGTCAAAAGACAGCAGCTGGGCAGTGGTGCTCACGCCTTTAATCCCAGCACCTGGAAATCAGAGACAGGCAGATCTCTGAGTTCAAAGCTAGCCTGGTCCACAGAAAGAGTTCCAGGACAGCCAGGGCTATATATATCTAGACAAACCCCTATCAAAAAGAGAGCGGGGACAGGGGAGAGACAAAGAAATGAGAGAGATATGAGCAGGGAGAAAGGGAGAGAGGGAGGGAGGGAGGGAGGGAGGAAGGGAGGGAGGGAGGGAGGAAGGGAGGGAGGGAGGGAGGGAGGGAGGGATCACAGCCATTATTGTTAGACTTGGAACTAAATTTACGAAACAAGGCTTAATGATTTGCCGAACTGAATTCATCTGTCCTTAACATACTAGGATGTTTTAAAGCTAAAGTTAGTAATTCTGAAAAAAAAAAAAAAAGAGAGTTATTTTTGATTCTCAGAGGCACACTTCACCTTGAGCTGCTGGGTACCGTGTTCCTTCTTGTCCCTTGGTAAGCATCCTCCATTTGCTTCTCTAGTTCTCTGATTTTCCACATGTCAGACTCCTCCTGAATCTAGACATTTTCAAAAAGGAAAGAAACAAAAATAAGTCACTAAAAATAGCACTTTGCATCACAGAAAAGGAACTAGCTGAAAGTACATACAATCTGCCTTAACTATGGGGTACAGACTGGGCTATGAACTGGAATAGATTCTGGTTTCTCTAAGGAGTTTAAAAGATGACTAGACAGTCCAGTGCAGTAAATATAAAATTATGTAGCAACAGAGGTTTTGAACCCCTGCATAGACATGCTAATCACCTCATCAGTTAAAAATCCTGCTGCAATCAGCAAGTAATAGCCCTACATGTTTCTGAGATGCAATATGATCGCAACATCTTAACAGCAAGTGATCTTATAGGAAAGTAAAGCAGGAACCATTAGAATATTCCACAAAGCAGCAGCAGAAGCTCAGGGACCTGACCAACATCTTTTTTAAAAACAATTAGGTTTTCTTTCTTTCTGTTTTTTTGTTTTTTCAAGACAGGGATTCTCTTTGTAGTCCTGGCTGTCCTGGAACTCAATTTATAGACCAGGTTGGACTTAAGCTCAGAGATCCACTGATTCTGCCTTCCCAGTGCTGAGTGTACAACTACTGCCTGGCTAACCACTGTTTTCTTAGTTTTTCTCAGTGCCATACATATACACTCCACCACTAGTCTGGTACTCCTTCCCAATCCCTGCCTCTTTGTTTTTGTCTTATTTTTTACTGTTCTTGTTGGTGGTAGGTTATTTGCTGTAGTTGTTTTGAGACAATCTAAATTACTTAGGCAGGCCTTCAATTTGTGGCCCTCCAACCTAGCCTCAGCCTCCTTGATGGCTGAGATTATAAGCCTGTGTACAACATCCAGCAGGAACAGGTGTGTAAATTCCGTAGGCATAGTGTCTTTTTATATTAAGAAAACAGAATAGATGGATGGACAGATAGGTACATAGATATAAATTTTTATTTAACTTACTTTGTGTAAGAATCAGAGAGCGAGAGAGAAGGAGAGAAGGAGCACACAGGTGGGGGTCAGAGATAACTTTCATAAATCAATTATTGAGTCAAGGTCTCTCTTGTTTTCTGTTGCTACACTATGGACTCCAGACTAGCTGGCCCTCAGCTTCTAGCCAATTCTTCCATCTCTACCCACATCCTGCTATAGGAATACTGGGATTACATATTTACATCACTGCATCTGGCTTTCTACCTGGGTTCTGGAGATCTAACTCTGTTGATCAGGCTTGCGTAGCAAATGCTTTTACCTGTGCCATCTTCCCACCCCATTTTGCTTTTTAACGTTTATATTATTTTACTTTATGTGAATGAATATTTTGTCTGTGCGATATGAGGTCAGGAGAGGGTCTCCATTCCCTGGAACTAGAGTTACAGATGGCTGAGAATCAAACCCAGATCCTCTGGAAAAGCAGTCATCTCTCCAGACCCTATATGTTTGTTTGTTTTCTGATTCTTGCCACATAGAATAGGCAAGCCATATACTTAAGCAAATTTCCTGTCTGTCTCCTAAGTGCTGGGATTATAGGCATGCACCATCATACCTGATTCACATTAAAATTCTTGTGAGGCTGGGCAGGACTGGCGCTCGTCTTTAATGCCAGCACCCAGGAGGTAGAGGCAGGCAGATTTCTGTGAGCACACAGCCATCCTGGTCTACAGAGAGTTCCAAGATGGCCAGGGCTGTTACACAAAGAAACCTTGTTTGGATAAAAAATTCTAAAAAAAATTTTTTTCTTGTCAGAAACAAAACAACATAGTTACCAGAAAACTGGAATGCAGATGACAATTGCCAAAAACTTAAGTGAATTTTATTTCTAAGTCTTCCTGAATACACCTACCACAAAAATTATCTTGTTTTTAAGCTGTCACTCTCAAACACAAGGTCCCTATACAACTAGACGTAGAAGTAACACAACTATATAGGTAGCATGGGCAACTACATTATCTGCATCCACAGTGAAAATCTCAGGTGGCAGCTGGGCAAAGGTCTTTAATCACAGTTACTGGAGAAATAACAAGTTCAAGGCCTGCCTGGACTATGAAGTAGATCAAGACCAGCTAGACAACAAACTTAGTGATCCTGTCTCCTAGTTTAATCCCCAGTACCTAACACCCTAATATGATAGTGACAGTGTTAGTAGTGATCAAGCCAGGAGTACAGTTTGCTGAAGAAATCTGAACAAGGGGGTCTTGTCCTTATTTTCACTATAGGTGCACTCTTACTTAGATGACTGTCTAAATTCCCAAACTTTTCTTCCAGCTCCAATCTTTCTCCTTGTTTCCAAGTCTGAGTTTTCAACTTCAAGTTCCTTAATCATAAATACATTCAAAATCAAACTAGTTGCACCTCCCACGTTTGTCCCTTTGTCGTTTTTGTTCCTTAGTCACTGCCTACCCAGTCACAGAGGTGGCATACTGGATTTCACTCTTGTCACATCCCATTGAGTTCCTCTTATCCCTGCTATGCCTCCATCCAAACGTCGGCACCACTCACCTACGACGTTAGTCACCTAATCACCCTCCCCAGTACTCTCTCCATCTTCTATTCCCTACTACAACGACAAAATCATCTGTCTAATAGTACATTTGTTTCTGAACGTATGGCAATCATACAATCTCATGCCCCTACCATGTAAAACAACACTTACAGGTATGATTCCACTTGATGATGACTTCTCTATCACTCCCGAAGAGAAAGTTTCTCTCTTAAGTTTCATAAAAACAACTCTAATTTGACACTCGGGCCTTATCTTCTGTCACTATCCCTATATATCTTATATTTTCTAGATGCATATAATTTCTTGCCCTGAGTGATTAATGCTTGAGGGGTGGGGATGGAATGAAGGACTTTGCATATATGAGGCATTACCGATAAAATGTATCACCAACCCCTGATATTTTGCCTTGCATTAGTGCATGGTGATCTCAGTCAAAAACAATGCATTCAATAAACTTTATTCATCGAGAACCAGTTCAAATATCAGCAACTCAAATACCATTCATTCCGTGAAATCTTTCCAATTTCCCAAGGCAGATTTCTTTATTCCTTCCTTGGTACTCTAAAGCATTTTGTAACTATCTTCATGATATAGTACTTTTCAAACTACGATTGTTTCTTATACATCTTTGCTCTCTCCCAACATAAATCATAGTTTACTGAATGCCCTCAAGAAATGTTGTATCGCCTACCTTATTGTGAGCATCTGTATGCCGGATGACATTCCTCAGGAGGACTTTCCCCAGTGGAACCCGTGACATTCTTTAATCTGAAATGAATCAATAATATGTAATAAATTTATTTTTATTAAATTATAAAGAAACAAAAGGAAAGAGGTAAAAAAAATCACTGAACTTAGAAGACACAGAACCTAAGGGAGAATTTTCCTTTCACCATTAAGATGCAGAACTACAGTGAACATAGTATGAAGAGGATGTGTATAGTAAAAAGTCCTTAAAACTACAGAAGGCTGCTCAAAATTGCTCCTTTGAGCACCGTTTTATTTAGTCCTCACAATTTTTTATGTTTTAAGAGTCAAGTAGTCCCTCAAGATCCATGGGGGATTGGCTCCAGGGCCCCTAAAGGAAACAAAATCCAAGTGCGGACTAGGGATGTGGTAAGTGCATTTCCCTAGTGCAAGGGTCATCCAGGATTCAGCCCCCCAGTAACATATGCATGCACACACACAAAATAATCCTAAGGTGCCTGTCTGTCATTTAGAATAGCATTGTATTTGCATATACACTACACTCTTGTGTGTTTTAATTATGATTTTTTTATCGAGATAGGGTCTCACCTAGTCTCAGCTAGCCTTGATCCTCCTGCCTCCATATCTCACATTCAGAGAGAACATGCATGCACTTCCACACTTAGGGTGGGTGGCGTGTCTAGATTACTTATAACACTTAAACTATGCAACTCTTATGTAAAAATGTTAGAAATAATGGCAAAGGGGAGGAAAGGTCTGTACATGATAAGTACAGATGCAATCTGATTCCTCAAACATTTTCAATCGGCTGTTGTTTGAACCTGTTTGATCCCCGAGTTTGGACTCTATCCCCATTCCTATTTTTAAAGTCAAGATCCTTAAAGTCATAACGAGGCCCCAGCCCAAATAGACCCAGGCAAAAGATTATATCAGTATCCAGGTTAGAAGTCAAATCTCACTCCCCAAAATTAGTTTGCAACTAAGTAAACATCTAGATTTGCGGGTATCAGCATCACATATGTCAACAGTAATAAATACTGAGTTCTAAAAAAATCGCTTTAATAACCTAAATATTTCTATTCAGGACATTTTGTTTCCTACAACGTTTGGAACTTTCAAAACCCAGAAGACAAAGATATTCACATGTGTAGCCACAAGGGACTTGGTGCCACCGTCCCGATGCTCACTCACCCCTCGGTCCTGAGGAAATCAGGCATCTTGTTAGTGTGAGACGAAGAACCACTCCATTACAAGATCTCCTCCGACCCAGGAAGCAAGGAGTCAGGGCTGAAAGGCAGCTCTGCAGCTTCACCCGAGTCCTTCGTGAAAACGCAGCCTTCCCACCGGTTACAGTGCCCTCACCCGAGGCCCAGGCTACGGCTGCCTTCCCCGAGCCGAGCCCGCCAGGCGGCTCTCTCTCCGGGACCCAGGCCAGAGCGGGCGCAGGCGCGGAACGCGGCCTCCGGGCGGGCCCGGGCATTCCCCGCTCCCGCTGGGCTGGGACAGCGCCCGGCGGCTCGGTTTCACTCCCGGGACAGAATGGGGACACGGGGCATGGGTATGGCCTTCCGTTGGGACCCGGGAAGTGTCTAGGGTGCCTGAGGGAGAGCTGGAGGTTTCCAAGGGGAAGTCGGAACAAACACCATGTCTGTCAGCGGGCTCCCGGCCCCGCCGCGGCCTCGGCGCTCCCGGCAGCCTTCCCTCGAAACGCCCTCCCCACCCAAACACACACAAACACACCCATACCGTGCGCCGCAGCTTCGCGTGGCGGGGTGGGAGAAAAGGCGACGGCTTCCTTCCGGGCCGGAAGTCGTGCCCCCGAGAAACGCTTCCTTCCCACGGGAGACTCCCACTGAGCGGGCTCGCCGGTCGCCGGGGAAGCTGACAGGTGCAGGAAGGAAGCTGGCACTCTCCTGAGACGGAGCGGGACGGCCCCGCTGAGGAGCCAGTCCGGCACTGGAGAAAAGATCCGGAACGGGATACGGAGACAGCGCTCTACTTTGCACTCCCCGGACACAGTTAGATGCTGTACCGGACCTGGTTACCATGGTAACAGGAGTCGCGGTTTGTCTCCACACTGAATGAAGAGGTGGGTTTCCCCACATTGGGATAAGCTGTGTGTTCGTTGTTTATTAAATCTAATCTTAATACACAATTTAAGGACTCTAAACCTCTTTTTAATATTTTTGTGGACCGTTTGAGACACTTCTCCGTTGCCGGAGGAGGGTGATGATGCGATCTTAGAATACTACTTGTACGTAGTATTTACCAAGTGTTCCAGCTGTAAGTATTGGCGTTCTTAGTCCTCATCTTCATTTTGAGAAGAATAGGTGTATATTACATATATATTACTTGCTCAAGGCAACATAGCTGTCTGGAGTTAAGAAGAACTTAAGCATACTAGCTCCAGGGACTCTCCACCTCACACACTCCCCACCCCGTTTTCTGAGGCAAGGTCTCAATATGTATCAATATGTAACCCTTGCTGTCCTGGAACTTGCTCTGTAGGCCAGGCTGGCCTCGAACGTATACAGATCCAACTGCCTCTGCCTCCTAAGAGCTGGCATTAAAGGTGTGTGCCACCACTGCCCAGCTCAGTGTTCCTACTTTTGACACCAAGTCTGCCAATATCCAACTATTGGAATAATATCACTACGAAAAACAAGACTTAAAAGGACGTTTCTGTTCCCACTGTATTTGTGACGGCCAGAGAGAGGCACAGGTACAAGGTGGGAATTTAGGAAGTGGTTAGACTTACAGGCTGTAGAAGAGCCAAGGTAAAGCAGAGTGGTTACACAATCTTTTAGACATAGGAAATAACGATTCCAAAAGCCTTCCTCCTCCCCGGAAAGGGGAAGTAAGGCCACAGTCACACAGACCCGTCTTTCCTCAAACCACGTCTTTCCACAGGTACTGGAGGCCTATCTTGTCACTAGTCATGAGGGCATCCTCAGAGGGTCTTCTCACCCAGATTTCCCAGTTCTGGAATATGCTTGATGATTTGGCTGAAAATGATCCTGAGCGCTACAAGAACTTCATTGAGCAGGAGCTAAAAGATGGAAAACAGTTCTGTGTGGGTCCAGAACCACAACTCTGCCTACAAACCAAGATCCTAGTATGTAGAGTTGGTGCAACAGATGATGGGTGTTCAGTGAAAGTACTCCGGGATAACTAGAGAATACCTTACCTGTCTCTAGTGCTACTTTAACACAAGAGAAGTTTATTAAAATTGCCTCTCTAAACAAAAATGAAACAGTGTGGAAGGTTTCATTGAAGGAGTAAAAATGAGAAATTCATACTTGGTATTTGAAAAATACCCAAATGAGGCTTTATTGTCCTAGTAGGTAGAAAAATAGTGACATAATGAATTAAGTTTTTAAAAAGTTTCATTACATTTTGTGTGGGCTCAAGAGAGTGCATTGAAAGGATAGTTGCCTAGCATATGGGAAGGCCTGAAAAAATGTGATGACTTGCATTCAGGATATTATCAAATTTTATTTTATAAAGTCTGACAATATCAAAATTATTCACTTTCTAGAAGCCAAAAGAAAAAATACTTTTTATCAACCTATGTCAATGGAAGAGGATCACAGCTCCCCAGTCAGCCACTCATCCTGTACCTCTAAGTGTTGGCAGACCAGAAGATTTCTCTGAGGCATCAGGTATAAAGAATTAAAGAAAGCATACAGGGATTTTTATTGAACATATTCATAGACCAGATTTTACTTAGTAAAAATTTTTAAATATTTCATTTTACTTCATTAACAAATTAGTGTACTTTATGCACATTTGTTATGATTTCTAATAATATAATCTGCTTTCAACCCACATAGAAATACCAACATGGAATTGGAATTTAGCGTGTATGATGTGTTAGAACAGCCTGAATCAGGCCTTGCCTCCCTGCAGCTCTCTCTGAGACAGTAAAGAATCAGTCTGTGGGGGCTGGAGAGATGGCTCAGCAGTTAAAAGCACTGGCTTCACTTTCAGAGGCACTGAGTTTAATTCCCAGCACCCACATGGCAGCTCACAATTTGTCTTAACTCCAGTCCCAGGGGATCCGACAGTCACACACAGACAAAACAGCAAATGCACAGAAAATAAAATTAACCATCAGTCTGTTCTGTGACTTCACAGCTTTCTATTCATCATCACTTGGCTCTTCTGAGATGTTGTGTACACTATACAGAAGTAAATTATTTAACTGAAGTAAATTATGTGATGTGAAACTTACTTAATAGGTTTTCGCCCCCCCCCACATAATTGATTATTATTTCTCTGTGGATGCAGTAAGCCAAATCAAGTCGAATTGGAAAAAGTATAACAACAGGTTTACTTGAGCAAAGCAACTCCCAGGCAGGTTCTCCAGTCCCAGAGATTGAGGCTGGAGAAACTGTACCCATAAACAAAAGCAGGGAGACTTTGTGGGATGTAGGTGAGGGGTGATGACATGTCTGTCACAAGCTAGGTTTGTGCCCAAGTATGGTCAAAAGCTGGGTGCTTAGGTAAGGACTTGGGCAGCTGGTAACTTCAGGGAAGGAAGCTGCAGTAGCTACCAAGATTGCAGAACTGGGCTTTTTGGTGTCTTTCCTTTGTTCAGAGACTTTCTGAGTGGGTGGTGTTTGGAGAAAGAGACAAGAATGTGACTTCTCTAATCATGCAGGAGTGAGCTGGAGGTTCCAACCGAACATTACTGTCATTTCTAAAAGGTTATAAAAAGTCAGCCTTTTCTTTTGTTCTTCAGATTGGTCCTCAAGGGTATTTTGCCCATGGAGGTGCCCTGCAGCTGCTCTCTGAAGGACCACTTGTCCTGCCCCCTATGGCAGCCAGCTTTCTCTCCCACACTACCTCTCATTCTCGCTCTATGACGCTCCTCTCCAAGCTTTAAAGGGAAGCCAGTGGTTGGAGAGATGGCTCAGCGGTTAAGAGCACTGACTGCTCTTCCAAAGGTCCTGAGTTCAATTCCCGAGGCAACCATATGGTGACTCACAACCACCTTGAATGAGATCTGGTGCCCTCTGCTGGCCTGCAGGCAGAAAGCTGTATATACAATAAAATGTTAAAAAAAAAAAAAAAAAAAAGGGAAGCCAGTAGTTCCCTTTAAGGCCTCATCATGCTTAGATCTCCATCTTCTGCATTATTCTTGTCTAAGCGTTTCCTTTCATCTCACTTCAAAGCCCTTTCTCCTACTAAACTGTATCAGCCTCCTTTCTGGACCAGCCACTGCTGATTTAACACAGTGCTGCTATGGTTGCTCTAAAAACACAGGGATGGGATTTGTACTTTCTAACTTTACTAATATGGGTTAGTATACTGCCTGACAAAAATACTTATAGAAACAAGCTGTCTTCTGAATTACACACAGGTTCATATACAGTTATTGATGTTGCCTACAACCCTGGTGTTCTGCAAGCAGCAGAAAAAGACCAAGGGATCAAAGACCAGTTAATAAAAATGACCATGCATTGCATTGAGGAGCGATTCCAGCTCACACTCGCACATTCATACCATGTTACTGGTTTTAAAATAAAAGGAAGCATTGGGAGAATGAGAGAAAATCTGATGGGCACTAAAACTGACTTCACAGGCTTCAAAGAGACAATGGGAACAGGTAAGTGGATGAATGTAAACTAAAAATAAACTGATGTCAGATTTTGTTTTTGTAACCTGTGTGTATTTTCCAAACCAGAGTCTCTAGCTTAAAAGAATGAGAAACTTAAAATAGAAAATATATATTATTAGAAATGTCAGCGTATCCAGAGAGATGTCAAAATCTTGTAAATTCCCAAGCAAATTATTTGGATTGAAGTTCTGGGCATTTTGGGTCTGTTTAGCTGTGCCAAGATCAAATCTCACCAGAGCCTCACATGCCAGGCAACTCCTACTGAACTGCATGCCCAGCTCTGCTTCAGATTCGTCAGAACTAAATTTCCAAACTAACTTAATCGCAGCATTATCAGCCGTCTCTGTAGACACGCCTATCTTAATGCTCACAATTGATAGTGTTTTGTATCTCTCCTCCCTTTTTTCCATGAAGAAAATATTCTTGAAAATATCAGAAGCAGTACTGAGAGTGAACCAAATCGCCTTCCTCAGGTGCTGCTGACAAAAAAACAAACATCATCAGACAAAGGACGATGTCTCATAGAGGAGATTTCTAGTTCAGAAATCCAGGTGGAAGTTAAGAAACCAGCTTATGAACTAAAGGTTGTAAAGGATCAGAATGAGAAACCTCTGAAAATTGAAGTGAAAATCGAGTTACCTGGGATTAACTCAGTCTCTCTCTGTGAGCTTAGTGTTTCTGAGGTAAGTTAAACAGATACTGTAGTAGTCCTGTTGTGTCTCTGGGGGATGGTTTACAGGAACCCCTGCAGGTAAGATTCACTGATGACCAGTTTTTTATTGTTCGCAAATAGCATTGGCACCTCCTCCATGTATTTGAGGTTACTTCTACTGTTGAGTAACATGTAAGTGCTGCGTAAATTTAATTGTGCATCAACTTGGCATAGCTCTAACAAACACGTGAGATAACTTTAAAGAAAAAGATTGGTTAGGTCATGATCTCAGAGATTCCAGCCTTGTTCAGATAAGTTTTCAGATCTGTGTTGGAAGTATCAAGCACATTGTGACAGGAATACATGACAAAGCAAAACCACCCTTTACTCAAAGCCAGGGAGATAAAAGA